TATAGTTTGAAATAAAAATAAATTACATTTTCATATAAAAAATGAAATTTTTGAGATCAAGTGTTGATAAAGTGTTTTCGAGAAGATATTAAAATTCTTAGCAAACTTTGACCCTCTGATAGACTCACAGATTGACTCCAACACAGAGTTACTTGAATTTAATCAAAACTAATACATGTTATAAATGTTAGATTTAATCACTGTTTGAGAGCTATATATGTGGTGGCATTTAATATACATGTATGAATTATTAATAATAATAAAGGGATGTATTGGGGGGACGAAGTCTACCATCAAAACATCCCGGGGTTTTAATTGCAAACACTTTCACTACACTTACAGCCAAATCCAATTTGTTTGCAATTTTACATAACTTTGTGTCTGATTAGTATCTGACTTACGAGTTGTTTGAATTAATTGTTTAGCTCTAGAAAAGCAAATTCCACATCGAATTGACTCAAATATTTCAGTTTTTAAAATCATTTTTAGATTTTATCCTTAAATTTTAATAATTGAAAAATTTGTTTAAATGTATGTCAATAATAAAACCCAACAATTTTGTTTGAAAATAGCACTTGTTTTTTGTCTATAAAAACTAAACAAAAACTTCAATTATTAAACTTTTTAATGGAATATTTTTTAGCACTTAAAACATTCCCAGAGTTAATCTATCAAATTTCACCCCATTATATAAATACCCTGTCTTTTTAACTTTCCTCACCCCTGGTATATCTCTATAGCGAGAAACTTATTTATTGATAATAACTAACTATTGATATCACATCTGAACTATTTTGTTGCATAAATCAAGAATCAAAAACATATTGCCATTAATATTAATTGATAAACTCTAGCATTTATTGTATTTCATTACATTTATTTAATATGTGTTTCCAATAATCTATTTATGTTTGACTTCTTAGAAGTTGTGTCCAAAAGTCTATGAAAGAAGTCTATTGTAAAGTAAATCAAAAATACTGAAAATTCTTGTGAATAAATAGTGTGCTCTTATTTTTTGATGAAAATACTGTACGCATAGAAAAACCATTAATAGATTAATAACCATGTACTTCGGGTATGTTTGAAGTGTTTTTTCATACAATGAATGTATTATATAAGTTATATGCAAAATATTTTAATACTTGTATATAAGGAAATGTTGCTATTGTTTGATAAATATTATATTTTTTATAATCGCTATTGACTTTATAGGGAATGCATAGGAAATTGGAAACACAAAAACACAAATATCTTTCCTTTCTTCAAAGTAATGCTTTGAAATTTTATTAGTTTTGTGTTTTGTTTTTAAATTTCATTTCCAGCTTTCGATTCTGTAATACAATTATAAATTAGTTTCACTAATAACTGTTAACATCTGAATTTGTGCAAAAAACACACATTTAATTAGTATGTATTCAAACGATGATCTATTTTTCAAAACTCTTTAGTGCAGGTGTTTCTCAATTATACAGAAATATTTTTTTGTTCACTTATTAAATCATTTTTGCAGTATTTCTATTGTTGTGTTATTTTTATGTAATTTTTCATTTAAATACAATTAAAACTATATAACTTGATAAAAACTACTTTTATTATTCTTATACTTTAATTAATCACTTCGTTATTATGATAGCAATAATTATGAATCCTTTTATTGTCGATTGCATTCACTATTATTATTGCTATTTATAAAACTAAATGTAAAGTTATATGTGTTTCACTCAAAAGTGAGCTATTTTTGAAAGTTTGTAAAGAGATTTATTATATTATGCTTTTATTATAAGAACTTTATATATTATTATTTAAATAATATCGAGAGATCTTAACAGCAAAATTTAAAACACCAAAAAAGGGTTTATTATAAGCATAGAGTTTATTGCAAGGAATAAAAGTTTCTTATCAACGAATGCGTTAATTCTGATAATAATGTTTGTTTCAAAGCAACAAAAATGCTTTCTTATCGCAAACAGAAAATATTAATTATGTGTAACTTTTGGATTCAGGCTTTTCTGGGGTTGAAGTGAAACCACTATTTTGTAGAATACAAGCGATCCGATTGTCAATTGTAATTAACTGTAATTATGGTTAAATTAACGCGAATGGAGAGTGAATTACACGCCAGGGATCGGGTGGGCGTCGAGGACTTTGTCCTTTTGGAGAACTATACGGATCCCAACGCTTTCATCGATAATCTTAGAAAGCGATTCAATGAAGACCTCATTTACGTGAGTCTCAACTCAATCACTGTTTTCTTATCCTTCTCTCTCACTCTCTGTTGTATTTATAATTTTGATTTAAAATAAATACAAAATCCCTGTTATTGTTATCCGAAACAGACATTTATCGGACAAGTTTTGGTTTCAGTTAATCCGTACAAGAATTTGAACATTTATTCCAACGAAACGATTGAAAATTACCGAAATGTCAATTTATACGAATTACCGCCTCATATGTATGTATGCCATGAAAAGAGTGTTTAAATAGTCAATAAACAAATGAAAAGTTATTGAAAACTAATTGAATCGATTCGTTAAACTCGTTTAGTTTTGCCATTTCTGACGTCTCTTATCGTCTGATGAGAGAGGAATCCAGAGATCAATGTATTCTCATCTCTGGTGAAAGTGGTTCCGGAAAGACAGAGGCGTCCAAAAAGATACTCCAGTATTTGGCGGCCGCCAGTCATCACAACCCGACCGTCGAGTCCGTCAAAGACAAACTCCTTCTCTCGAATCCAGTATTAGAAGCGTTCGGAAACGCGAAGACAAACAGAAATGACAACTCGAGTCGTTTCGGCAAATATATGGACATTGAGTTCGATTACATGGGCTCTCCATTGGGCGGACACATCAATAACTACTTGTTAGAAAAGTCTCGAGTTATCCATCAGAATAAAGGCGAACGAAATTTCCATATATTTTACGAGTTATTGAACGGCGCCGACGACCAGACACTCACACAGCTCTTCCTAANGGACATTGAGTTCGATTACATGGGCTCTCCATTGGGCGGACACATCAATAACTACTTGTTAGAAAAGTCTCGAGTTATCCATCAGAATAAAGGCGAACGAAATTTCCATATATTTTACGAGTTATTGAACGGCGCCGACGACCAGACACTCACACAGCTCTTCCTAAAACGTGATCCTCAGAGCTATTTCTATCTAAATCAAGGCGACAGCGAAGAGCTCTCCGGAATCGATGACTCCAAACAGTATAATGTGGTTAAGAGTGCTTTCAAAACGTTTGGCTTTGGTGTCAATGAGGAGACAACCATCCTATCGATTGTCGCATCGGTTCTTCATATGGGAAACACTGGCTTTTACGAAGAGAATGGCGAGGCTGTGATCGCTCAGCTCAAGACAGTGTCCCATATTTGCAATCTATTGCAATGTAAGGAAGACCTGTTGCAACACGCGTTCACTAACCGGACCATTGAGGCCAGGGGTGAGTTCGTGAGCACTCCGTTGACCAGAGATCAGGCCATCTATGCGAGGGATGCGTTGGCAAAGGCTGTATACGATAGACTCTTCTCGTGGTTAGTGAGCAAATTGAATGAATCGCTTGAATCGCGCGGACATAAAACCAGAAAGACATTAATGGGTTTACTAGATATCTATGGCTTCGAGATATTCGAGAGGAATAGTTTTGAACAGTTTTGCATCAATTATTGCAATGAAAAACTGCAGCAACTATTCATTGAACTGACCCTCAAGTCTGAACAGGAAGAGTATCGGCGCGAGAAGATTGAGGTAAGAACTCACTCAACCATAACAACCAATATTTGTTCATAATTTGTCATTCGCTATAATTTATTGTACTTATTATATTGTGTTGATATATAGTGGGAACCGATCGAGTATTTCAATAATCGCATCATTTGTGATCTCATTGAAGAGCGACACAAAGGAATTATTGCTCTTTTGGGTTAGAAATCAATCGCAAATAATTAATTATATTTATATATAATTGACATTTCATTTCTCTGTTATCTATACAGACGAGGAATGTCTGCGCCCGGGAGACGCCAGCGATAACACATTTTTACAGAAACTTGAGCTTATTGTGGGAACTCATCCACACTTTTGTAGCCATAATATTGCGGACAATAAAACGAAAAAAATACTCGAAAGAGATGTAAATTTAAGCAAACAATTATCCGTTAAATAACATATACTAAATATGCATACAATTTAATCCCAAAAGCAATTCCGACTCAAACACTATGCGGGAGAAGTGGTGTATAATATCGACGGCTTTCTGGACAAAAACAATGACTTACTTTATCGCGATTTGAAGCGAGCGATGTGTTCGTCGAGTAATCCAATTATACAACAGGTGTTCCCACAGAATGAGGTGAACAGTAAGAAGCGGCCGCTCACTGCTGGCACACAATTCAAGAACAGTTTGGCTAAATTGATGACCACGTTGTTGACGAAAGAGCCCTGGTATGTTCGTTGTATTAAACCCAATGATAACAAAATGTCCCACAACTTCGACGAGGGAGTGGTCACACATCAGGTCAAGTATTTGGGTCTCATTGAGAACCTGAGAGTGAGACGCGCCGGCTTTGCCTACAGGCGGCCGTACGAGGCGTTCCTCCATCGGTACAAGAGTTTGTGTCCGCAAACGTGGCCTCACTTTCACGGCACGGCTAAACAGGGCGTTCAAGTATTGGTCAACTACTTAAGCTTCGAGACCGATGAGTACCGAATGGGCGAAACAAAACTTTTCATACGATTTCCGCGAACTCTGTTCGACACGGAAGACGCCTTCCAAGAAAGGAAACACGGATTGGCGGCTATTATACAGTCGAGGGTTAAGGGAAGGCAACAGCGAAAGCGTTTCTTGGAAATGAAAAGTGCGGTCACTTTGTTGGCCAGCCATTGGCGTAAAGTTCTTGCCATTAAATTGTTAGCCAAACGCCGAATGGCCGCTCATATGGTCCGTACGTTCATTAAGGGATTCATTACTCGCAATGAACCCGAAAATGATTGCAATCGAGCCGTGAGTGTCTTCTTAATTGTTTAATCAATTTTATGGAATTTTAATTCATTTTTATCATTAGTTTGTGAGGAGTGTTAGAGCAGAATGGCTGAAACGATTGTCCAAACAGTTGCCAAAATCTGTGTTAATCAAAGAGTGGCCGCAATCACCAAAATGTTGTCGTGAAGTGAGAATTATTTATTTTTAAGTTATATTTTTATTGTTTTACTAATTAATTGCTAACGAAATAGACGTCAGAATTGCTGAAAGGATTGCATCAGAGATGGCTCGTCAGGAAATACGTGCGAAGTATTACTCCGGAGAGGAAACGTCTAATGGACGAGAAAGTTGTCGCCGAAGAGCTGTTCCGTAACAAGAAAGCCAGTTATCCCTCAAGTATTGCGCATATGTTTAAAGAAAATCGATTAAGTAATTGACTTATAAGTTATAACTATAAATGAAAGCCATTTTTGTTGCTATTCTAATGATTTTGAATGACTTTTGACAACTTAGACAACGAGTTGGAAACACTTCGCAGAAATATCTTCGAGACTAAGTTTAAACGAAGCGATGAGAAGACCATTTACTGTCTGCAAGTGATTAAATACGATCGACACGGATATAAGCAAAGACCCAGAATATTATTGCTGACCAATAGTGCCATTTATTTGCTCAATGAGAAGGACATGAAACCCAAACATCGCTTACCCTATAAGAGCATCGTTGAAGTGACGGCCAGTGACCTAAACGATGGTCTTTTGGTTATCAAAATTCCTGCCGATTTAAAACAAGATAAAGTAAATCATTATTTTATACTTCGTTTAATTGACTTAAATTACACACTAATCGGTAATTTGTTTCCCAAACTAATTAAAGGGTGATTTAATTCTTGATTGTCGGACACATCTGATCGAAGCGGTGACCAAAATCATGATAATGACTAAAGATCACGAAAAGCTTAATATTGTGAGCACTGGAAGGTATGGTTCAAATGATTTAATTTCATTTATATCGAAATTAAATTAAATTTTTGTTACTTTCAAAAGTATAAGTCATGCGACTATTGATGGAAAAGTGAACCAAATCTCGTTCACAAAGGGACACATGAATGGCATCATTAAACGAAAGGACGGCATATTAGAAGTGGTCTGTATTTTGTCGTCTATTAACTCGTTTAACATTACTTTTTAATTAAATATATTCTCCTATTCTAGACATCGGTTTCGTCATAACAAGAGCTGAAAAATACTGAAGAAATCTAGTCTACAGAAGAGGAAGACAAATAATGGCCACATATTTTGTGCCAAAAAATATAATAGAAATAAACCACTA